ACCTAGGAGAGTGACACTTAATAGATGCTCAGTAAATATTTGTTGATTGAATAAATGAGCAGTAGAATGACATGATATCTTTTCTAGACAGAGATGACTAGAGGGCGTCAGGGCTGGAAACTGGGGGAGCAATGTGTGTTTGTGGCACAGTTGTGGGTAAAGATGATAAGGCGGGAGGTGGACAGTGGTGACTGATTAGGCTTGAGGAGCAAGGACAGCGGGAAGGAGACCGATTTCCTAAGCTTTCTGGGTCGGGTGATAGGAGATGGTTTGGGACATGTTGAGTTTAAGATGCCCAAGGAACATCCAGGTGGATGTCTAGAAGGTGGTTGAATGTATGTGTCTGGAGCTCAAAAGAAAGGTCTGTGTACATAACAGATTTGCAGTGGATTTCTTGTACAATCTCCCCATGCCTATTAGTTTTGCAAATGAAAGAAATTGAGACCAAGAGAAACAGACTGTTGGCAAGTTTTTAAATGAGAGTGGGTTTGCCTCCACTGATCCACATTCCTTGCTGGAGTCAGGAAGGAATCCCAGTCTCCAGGACTCTGTCCACAGCCTCCAGAGCCTGCCCATTAGCACAATTGGCCCATCACTTGTCCAGTGCTAATGGGCCACAGTTGGCCCTAGGATGATTGCTCTGTTATCTCACTTTATTCTTCCAGTGAGTGTGTTTTTGTTGAATCCCCCCGAAATTCAGCAGCCAGCTCTGCATCTCAGCCAGAGGTTGAATTCTCTGTGCTAGCTCTTCCTGGCTTGCTCTTCCTGAACCAAAATCTGGCTTAATCAAGGCTGCTCAGAGCTGAGCTTCTGAACTTAATTGTTTTGTTAAGTATTCAGCTGCTTTTCCTGATTGGGCCTTTCTCAACCAGCTGAGGGGACAAGGCTCCTTTTATCCTCTCTGATATACTTGGACAGAGCAAGTACTCTGTGACCTTGGGCAAATGGCTTTGACACTCTGGTCCTCAGTTTCCCCTTTTGTACAGTGAAACAGATGTTCTCGCTTCAGCATTAGAACAGCTGATGGATATGATACACTTAAAAACATTGTTGTGGCTGTGCGCAGTGGCTCACGCCTGTAATGCCAACACTTTGAGAGGCCAAGGCAGGCAGATCACAAGGTCAGGAGTTCAAGACCATCCTGGCCAACATACTGAAACCCTATCTCTACCAAAAATACAAAAAATAGTAATAATAAAATTAAATTAAAAAGCCGGGCATGGCGGCAGGTGCCTGTAGTCTCAGCTATTTGGGAGGCAGAGGCAGAAGAATTACTTGAACCAAGGAGGCGGAGGTTGCAGTGAGCTGAGATTGTGACATAGCACTCCAGCCTGGGTGACACAGCATTGCTGTAGAGCTCTTAGGTGTTGTTTTTAAACAAGGAGTGCCTCGGTTTCAAAATGTTACACATCTGGAAAAAGCATGTTTTCTTAGCTTTAGTATCAGAAAAAAAAAAAACAATTGGCTGTGGCAAATCCATTCTGAGAGGTTTCCTGAGTGCCGGTTTATCATTCTGGTAGCAAGCCAGGAAAAATGGTGATAATGGGTGGAATAAAGCCAGAGAGTGAGGTGGCTGAGGTGTGGGGGTGGGATGAGATCTGACTGTTGGTGAGGTAGAGCAGAGGTGTGAGGTCAGGTAGCCAGTTATGGCTGAGAGGCATGATGGAAGAAAGTTATTAGGAACTCAGAAGATGGCTTAGAAGTTCTGGCCAGGCCAGGTACGGTGGCTCACTCGTGTAATCCCAGCACTTTGGGAGGCTGAGATGGGCGGATCACCTGAGGTTGGGAGATTGAGACCAGCCTGACCAACATGGTGAAACCCTGTCTCTACTAAAAATACAAAAATTAGGCAGGTGTGGTGGTGCACACCTGTAGTCCCAACTATTCAGGAGACTGAGGCAGGAGAATCACTTGAACCCAGGAGGCAGAGATTGCAGTGAGCCAAGATGGCGCCACTGCACTCCAGCCTGGACAACACAGTCAGACTCTTTCAAAAAAAAAGTGTTCTGGCCAAAGCTGAGGCAATTCAAAGTATCGCAGGGGTGGCGGAATGGAAGCTGCTGTCAGTCACTCTGTTAAAAGAAAAACTTTAGACAAATTAAATTTAGCAGATTTATTTAAGGCATAGAAGGATTCATGTTCAGGTAGCCCTCAGAGCCAAGAGCGGTTCAGAGAGCTTCACCCAGCAACATGGGTAGGCAGCATTTATAAACAGAAAAAGACAGTGAGTACAGCTACAACTTGATTGGTTATGCTCCATGGTTGCCTGTTTGGGCATTTATATAGACATGGGCTGATCAATTGGCAGCCTGGGATTAACTGAAGCTTGGCTGCTGTAATTGGCCGAGACTCAGCTATTTGTTACAAGAATATACTCTTAGATTGTAGTTTTTTTACATACTAAGTTAAGTTGCAGAAGAACAGGAATTTGAAGTATGGAGGCAGCCTCAAGCCCAGTTTAGTTTACTACTCTCCAAGTCTGAGGGAGGTGTGGTAGGCCCAGAGACCATACCTTCACAAAAGAGACCTCAGTCACCACCACATTGGTCAGCAACGATACAGAACATCTATACATGGATGTTTTTGCTGTTGGGGTTATACAAAAAAGAGGAAACATAACAGTAAACTGAAGGGCAAATCAGAAGATGCAAGCAAAGGAAAGAGAGTGGATAGTGAATAGGAAATTTGGAAAAGGGGCAGATTTATTTTTAATTAGGAAATTCAAAATTAAAGCCAGTTTAGATCAGCTCACATTTATTTAAATTGGCATATGGTGCCACAGCCTTGCAAGCTACCGTCAGGTTCTTCCATCTCCTATAAGTAAAGAGGAAAAGCATTTGATCCCCATACCTAGGCCAGAGTGAATGAAGGAGGGCCATGGGGGAGCTCTGACCCCCACCCCCGCGGTCCCCTGAAATAGGGTACATAAAGTCCTTAGCCCCAACTGGCACAGGTGAGGCTCAGTAAGTGGCAGCTCCTGTGAGGGGATTATGAGTGCCAGAAGCAATGGTATTGCTCAGGGGACTTTATTATTCTAAGGTGGAGATGCCATGGTATTCTGCCAGAGTCCCCACCTCTTTTCCATTTCTGACTCCTGGGTTCTGGTGCCATTTGTCTTAGGGGTGTATTCATGGTGAGTAATGCTCAGCAGCGGTGGCATATAGAGAGCTGGAGCATCTCTGAGTTCCCTCTGGTTCCTGTGGTGTGCAAGTCACTGCCTTCTCAGTTGCAGGGAAGTGTTCTATCTATTAATAAAACAGCCACTGAAGGTTGGGCACATTGGCTCATGCCTGTAACCCCAACACTGTTGGAGGGCAAGGTGGGAAGATCACTTGAGGCCAGGAGTTGAAGACCAGCCTGGGCAACATAGCAAGACCCTGTCTCTACAAAAAATAAATAAATAAACAGTAAACTGAAACAGGAGCTGAGAGAGAATACTAGAATACTATCTGTGTAGTGCTCAACAGCCTGGTTCAAGTTCCAACCCTGCCATTCTGCTAACCTGCCTGCTTTGACAAGTTACTGAATCTATTAGTGCTTCGTTTCCTCATCTGAAAAATAGCAGAAGTAGGATGGTTAGGATTGAAGCGAGAATGATCAATAGGCACAGTGCCTGCCACATAGGACGCCTCACCAAGAGGTGTGTAGAGTTGTTTTTGCTGTCATTATTGGTGACCATGGGGGCTCAGAGGCTGCAATTATGCACAGAAAGAAAGGCCAGCTTCCCAGAATATAAAAGCATTGCATTATTGATCATTGCTGGATGAGTAGAGGGAAATACAGCTGGACAGATGTGTGATCAAATAGTCATAGTTCATGTCCCCCGTAGAAGCCAGTTGGGGACAATATGGGTGTTCACTTTGTAATTCTTTAAGCTATTCTATTGTATTAGATGATATTCACAATGAAACAGAGGGATGAAGGAATTCCACCTACTAATGGGTCTTCAGAGCTGAAAAATCTATTTTGATACCAGTAAACTGAGTTTGGTAGGAATAAAAGCAGCCTGGCAGAAGCCTATGTGCTTCTGCAGGACAGGAGTCATTCACTTAACTGAGGGGTGTGTGTGTGTGTATGTGTGCACATGCATGTCTGTGCATGTATGTGTCTGTGTGTGTGTGTGTCTGTATGTGTGTCAATTACAGTATGTGAGTGGCAGGCATAGAAAAGTGGGATTAGGAGAAGGGAGGGACTCAGTGAGTAAGTACTCTTAATTTTTTTTTCTGTGCCTCACCTCATTCCAAAAGGAATCTGTGGTAACTTGCAGAAATACCTAGATTTTAATGAGATAAAAAATAAATGGAGGCTATGAATGAGCAATTGTTTATACTCATACTGTATGTCATAATGTTCTGAACACAAGCTTTGAAAGAAACAAGTGCAAATTTGGCTGTGATACTAAGAGCCCATAGAATCCCAGGTTCCAATTTCACTTGGTCACTGATTTTCCTGGAGACCCAAGACAGTTGGGCCTCCCCCTTTCATTGCTGATTTTAATATTCCAAAGTGCTTATGAAGAATAAGCCAGAAAAATAATCTAGGTAGTGGACTTGAAGTAGCTGACACTGGCTGGCTACATGACAGAGGCACCACCCATGTCCTTGACTGCACCGCCGTGCCTGTAGCCACTGGGTTCTGCTTCCCTCCTGCTGTGTGTAGTTCTCCTTCTGTCTCCCCCATCCTTCCTCCAACCCTTCTTCTCCTGGCAGCATTCGATAGAATTTTTCTTTTAAAGCCCAAATGCAGCCATCTCAATTAGAGAACTTTGCTGTTTGAGCAAGATTCCTGAGCATTCAGGGCTCCATGGGCCTAGCTGTAGAAATGTGTTTTTAAATAAGAGCACTCTTTAGAAAGGACAGTGCTTGATTAGGATGCCAGGAGGTATATTTCTTGTCCTCAGCAGGTAATGTGCTATTTGAAAAATGTCAAAAGTGCTAACTCCTATTCTTATCTTCGTTTTTTCCCTTTTCTCTCTTTCTTTCAAAACTACCTGTTCATAGCATATATTCTTCCAACTTCCATGCAGTGAAGAGGGAATCAGATGGGGCTCCCGGGGATCTCACTAGCTTGGAGAATGAGAGACAAATTTACAAAAGTGTCTTGGAAGGTGGCGACATCCCTCTTCAGGGCCTGAGTGGGCTCAAGCGACCATCCAGCTCAGCTTCCACAAAAGGTAATAAACTGGGAGAAGCCTGCAGGCCTTCGTCTCCCATCCACCTCCATCCACTGAGCGTCAGCTGTGGTGAACCTCCAGCAATGGGGATGAGTCCCACCTCGTTCAGACCCACATTCAGGCCTTGGAGCCCTCGTAAATTCCCTTCCCTATTTTCTTACCGGCCATTTTTCTTTCTGGTTTTAATAGTTTCCCTTTCTTTGACCTCCCCCCCCCCACCAACCTTGCTCTCCTTGAAGATGTCTCTCTCTCTCTCTCATCCTAATTACCTTTTCTTAGAAATTAGCTGAGCTTTAGCCATTCCTAACTCTAGCAGAGTAGCCATTTTTTTGTTGTTGCATCCTTGCACCTGCTTTGCAGCACAGATTATTTTGCTTCCAAACATCGACTGGGAATTTTTTAAAAGCCCTTATGACCAATGAGCATGTTACCTCTCCTTTTTCTTTTTAGCAGCTTTCAGCTTTAACCTAATGGGTCTATTTATTTTATTCTGCATGCTTACCAGTGGATCGTAAAGGTGGGAATGCTCACATGATTTCTTCATCTTCAGTCCATAGCCGAACGTTTAACACTAGCAATGCGTTAGGCCCTGTGTGTAAGCAAAAGAAGCCCCTGTCAGCTGCGAAAGCCTGCATTTCGGAAATCCTTCCTTCCAAATTCAAACCCAGGCTCTCTGCTCCCAGCGCTCTTTTGCAGGAACAGAAGAGTATCCTCTTGCCCTCAGAGAAGGCTCAAAGCTGTGAGAACCTTTGTGTTTCCGGTTCTTTGAATGATTCCAAAAGAGACCTCCCCCTCCAAGTGGGAGGGAGCATCGAGAACCTGCTCATGCGCTCCCGACGGGATTATGACAGCAAGTCGAGCAGCACCATGAGCCTCCAAGAGTACGGCACCAGCGGCAGGAGGCCCTGCCCTCTCTCAAGAAAGGCTGGGATGCAGTTCACCATGCTCTACCGGGACATGCACCAGATCAACCGAGCCGGCCTCTTCCTGGGCTCCGTCTCCTCCTCCTCGAGTGTGCGGGATCTCGCCTCCCACTTTGAAAAGAGTGGCCTGGCATTGTCCAGGGGTGAGCTGGGCCCCAGCCAGGAGGGCTCAGAACACATCCCCAAGCACACCGTCTCTTCCCGCATCACGGCTTTTGAGCAGTTAATTCAGCGGTCCCGTTCCATGCCGTCCCTGGACCTGTCCGGCAGGCTGAGCAAGTCTCCCACACCCGTGCTGTCCCGGGGAAGCCTGACTTCAGCCCGCTCGGCCGAGTCCCTCCTTGAGTCAACCAAGCTTCGTCCCAAGGAGATGGATGGGATGAACTCCATTGGGGTCTATGCCTCCCCAACATGTAGCAATATGGCGCACCATGCCTTGGGCTTCAGGGGCCTTGTGCCTTCTGAGCCCCTCTCCACCTGCTCTGATGACCTGGACCGCTGTTCAAATATCTCCACTGACAGCAGAGAAGGCAGTGGCGGCAGCGTTCATGGAGATTTCCCCAAACATCGCCTCAATAAGTGCAAGGGCACCTGCCCGGCCTCATACACCCGCTTCACCACCATCCGGAAGCATGAGCAGCAGCAGACCTCTAGACAGCCCGAGTGGCGCCTGGATTCCAGAGGGGACAAGAGCACCCTCCTCAGGAACATCTACCTAATGAGCCCCCTTCCTTTCCGGCTGAAAAAGCCCCTCCAGCACCACGCCAGACAACCTTCCCCCGGTGACTCCTCAGGCCTGCTGGTGGGCCAGAAGCCAGACCTACCCAGTCAGCCCCATCAGGACCAGCCCCCTTCTGGGGGGAAGCCCGTGGTTCCCACACGCCTGTCTTCCCGACACACCATGGCCAGGCTTAGCCGCAGCTCAGAGCCCTCTCAGGAGAGACCCGCGGCCCTGGAGGACTACCCAAGGGTCATTAATAATGGAAACTCCGTGCCATACTCAGACCACAGGCTGGACAGGAACAACAACCCTCAAAGTGAACTGGCACCGTCCCGCGGAGGTGGCATTTTGTGTGTTTGCCTAGTCTCACCTCCCCGTCCTCCACTTTGCTTGCATTACCCTTCCTCCTCTGTGCCCTTGGTGCTCATTTTCTGGTCTGTCCTTTGTTTTCTGTTTGTTTTGCTTGGCAATTAATCATGGCTCGTAGTGGCTGCACTTCTTTAAAAACAAAACCCCCATGTCATTTAGACTAACCACCAAACCGTGTTTCGAAAGAAAAATTGGCCGTTTAGCTCAACTGAGAAATGTGTTCATTTGAGCTCTCGAACCCCTTGCTGTTTGCACCAGTTCCCAACGTAACCCATGGTTTTTTGAGAGGCAGCCTCTCTCAGTGGCCCTATGTGTGTGTGTGTGACTTGTCCCTATAAGGTCCTGCACGCCTCTTTGTAGGGACACTTTACAAAGAAAGTCCTCTCATTTTGCTCACCTTTTGCCTTCTGAGTAGTAGTTCTCTTTGCATTAAACTAGTTCACAAATAAATCCAAAAAGTGGGGCAGGGGGTGGAATTTGTTTTTTTTTTATTCATCAGAATTTGATCATTGATCATTAATCAACAATGTCTATAAAATTTTGATGTTTATAATAGATGAAAGGTGAACTCTCTTCCCAAGTTGGTTTCCAGCTAAATCTTTGCCTGTTTTAACTCTACTTTGTTGTTTTAAAGATTCGGAATCGCCAAGACATTTTATACCAACTGATTACTTGGAATCCACAGAAGAATTTATTCGAAGACGTCATGATGATAAGGAGGTAAATCCCATCTTTTAAATTTCTTAGCTTTTGCTTGGAAAAACATATGAAGAAAGTAAAGACTCTAGACATCTGTCAGAGAGGTGACATGGTCTAGCAATTGGTAGCAAAAATTGAGGCTTTCACAAATGATTTTTTTATATGACCTAGGCTCAGTCACTCCCCTTTTAGTTAACTTTTCCAAAAAGTAGACCTGATTTCCCCACAGGCACTAGGTTATAAATGCCAGTTCCAGCCAGCACTGCTGCATGGGAGATACAGAAAGAGGTTGTCCACTGCTGCACTTAATGCCTTGTAAGCTAGACACCAGAGTTTGCTCTTTCATCCCCCTCAGCCCCACCCTTGGTAGTCTCCAAGGAAATCCACCCACATTATTTCTCCAATACTGCCCACCCCTCTGTCGGCAGAAAGCTTTTTTCAAATTGAGAAGGATGCAATAGGAGAAAGAGGAAAATGAAAAATAGTAGTGACCTTGATACATTTTATAAAACAATTTAAGGAAGTTGCCTATAACCCTGTTGCCTTCAACTCAGAAGAAGGCAGATACACCAAGAAATGCTGGCAAACCTACAAGAACTTCAAAATGTGGATATTTTCTTGTAACTACTGAAATGCCTGTCCTGACATGGGGTGACTGGCAGGGCCTGGGAAAGAGTCCCTTTTCTTGGGGATTTGGGAAGAGGTAGTTCTTTGCATCAGCCAAATGGGGAAAAATCACAAGCTTCTGCTGGAATAAATCGTTGTCATGATGTATGCTTTCTGGGCTTCACATCCCCAAGAAAAAGAGTCCTATAGATTAAACAAGCTCCAATGCCCATATTCCTGAAATGAATTAAGAGATGGAAAACTCACCTTGACCTGGTAGCAGTAGGGGAGGGTGTGCATGTGTGCACCATTCTGTCCCGTTCATGTTCAAGTCTGAAGCCCTTTTTCTCTATTGTTTTGTCTTGTTGAGTAGTTCCAGAGTTTAGGTGGGGTTTCCTGAAGGATTTAGGGTAAGGCTGACTTGGGGACGAGTGGGATGATGATAATTATTGCCTCCAGATGGTGAAACAAAAGACGAAAATGAAACCACCATGGCCAGGCGTGGTGGCTCACGCCTGTAATGCCAGCACTTTGGGAGGCCGAGGTGGGCAGATCATGAGGTCAGGAGTTTGAGACCAGCCTGCCCAACATAGTGAAACCCCATCTCTACTAAAAATACAAAAAATTAGTCGAGCGGGATGGCGGGTGCCTGTAATTCTAGCTACTCAGGAGGCTGAGGCAGATGAATTGCATGAACCCAGGAGGTGGAGGTTGCAGTGAGCCAAGGTCACGCCACTGCACTCCAACCCCAGGGAACAGTGCAAGACTCCATCTCAAAACAAAAAGAAAGAAAGAAACCACCATACCTTTCCCCATCTCTGGGTACAATTGAATAGTATTCAGTAAGAAACTTGCACCTATCCATGGAAAGAAACAAGAGGAAGCATTTGATATACAGTATTATTTGTAGTAACTTACTCATGATGAGTGTCCATCAGGCCACAGAGCAGATTCATTTCTATAGCTCTTTGTTAACTATTTCCTGCCACAAGATACAAGATTCCCAAGGCTTGGGCTGCTATGATGAAGGAAGATGTAATTCCATTTTAGTAATTTAAACCCTAGTCTCTGACCTAGGAGATTTTATGTGACAATCCTTGCCTATCACATGGGTGGTGTAGTTTATCTGGTGTTTAGAAATTGATATATTAGAAGTTACATAAGAAGGTTAGCTGTTGTCTCCTGAATAACATTGGCTCATAGATCCTTAAAAGTTTTGTGTCTTTATCCATGGTTTTTGACTTATATGGTTAAACTACAGGGTCGAGGGACTTACTAAGGTCAGATTCAATTACTAGATTGGGAGCTTTGCCCCATTTGATGTCCACTTCCATTGATTATGTTTAACTCCAGCCAGAACACAAGGGATTGAGTAAGAACTGTGGCAGTCTCAAGCATCACTCCATTCCCATGGCTACAGAAACAGCTCACACTTCCCAGCTCATGGGGTGTCAGTCAGGCCCTTCCCATTACAAATGCTTTATCACTAACATGGATAATAACAGAATTTCAGAAAATGAGAACATATCAGTCTTGGCAGGGACATTAGTGGTCATGTAGCCAAGCCCTTGTTTAGTCCAGGCAAGGACACAACAAGGTGGTAGCTTCCCCAGGGCTGCATAGTAAGTTAACCTGTACCCATAGCAGAGCTAGAAACTAGGGCTCCAGATGCCTGGCCAGTACTCTTTCCTTGGCACTGGGCTTTGCAAAGGACTTTCTCATGTCTTTTCTCATTTAATCTTTACAATTTACTTGAGTACTGGAACTCCCACAGCCATTTGATGAGTTGTCACTTTGTTATTTGTAGACCCTGGAGAAAAATTGGGCCCAGCATCCTTTGGGGATGCATGTCATGAGGCATGTAATTGCCTGCTGGAATTATCCAGTGCTAAGAATGATCAGTTCTAATTCATGCTTTCCTACAAGGAAAGTTAATCCCAGGAAAGTAAGATTGTTATGTATCAGAAAACACATAAAAATTCTATTCCATGGGGTCATTTTAATAGGCATTCAGGACATTTGGTAAAAAGCAACATTGTTTGATTTTTCAGAGAAGCCTTTAAAAATAGAAGTAGATTGCTTTTTCCTTACTCTAGGAGATAATATTTCTTCTAACCCCAGGTACCATTATTCTTAGGGTTTTTTAATCTTTATATTCTCTGTCATTCCCTTTAACTTAGCTTCATTTCAGATCATTCAGTAAGAAAGCAACGGATGCTCTCTGTCAGCCACATAATTAGCCTTTGGTGCATATCCTAAGGCCTTCTAAAAATTGTGCCTAGGGGAAGAGTTGGCTGGCCTAGAAGGGGCATCGTCTTCCAAAATGAGCTGCTCCACTCTGTCAAGAGCATATTGGAGTAATAGGCGCAGGAAGCGCAAAAATGACCTGGTGCCATAGACTTCACTAGCAAAAGCCTATAGCAGGTTTAATAGGCCTGAGATGGGCAGGAGGAATTGGCCAGCCTTGGTCCTGCGAGGGGCAATATGCTGTGGGAATATATCCCTGCCTAAACAGGGTAGAGATGGTACTTCCAGCCTCCCGCTGTCAGCCCAGCATGCTTGGGAATGCCCTGGATGTGCTCCTGGGCTCACCTGACCTTTGCTCCCAGGAGCAGGTGGCTTTGGGCTGAGCTGGGGGTAGATAGTTTGCTGGAGAGTGTAATCATGCAGAATCATCCTTCCCCCATCCCGGCTTTCCCAGTGAAGAGCTGCCTCCTTTCCGCAGTGCACGGAGGGTGGTTACGATGGGAGCGTAGTAGTTGTGGCTTTGAAGCCCCTCTGACAGCTGACTGTTAACGCCTCTGCCCTGTTCACCCAGCACCTTCTTCCCTAATGACTTTTGTTGGTAGTTTTCTAATATGCTGGACCAGATGATTCACTGCCCATTTTATGCAATTTTATGGCAGAAACTTTTAGCGGACCAGAGACGACTTAAGCGCGAGCAAGAAGAGGCTGATATTGCAGCTCGACGCCACACGGGCGTCATTCCGACGCACCATCAGTTTATCACTAATGAGCGCTTTGGGGACCTCCTCAATATAGACGATACCGCAAAAAGGAAATCTGGGTCAGAGGTCTGTTTTGGTCACCTCAATCTGCTGCTTGACCCAAAGCAATATTTGCCTATTTGCCTCCCCTCAGCATTGCCCTCTGTAGGCCAATGTAGTTCCCCAAACAGCATCTGTCATCCTGGCTTCCCTTAGGCTTGCTTTGGCTTCTTGTGGCTGGTAAATAGACATGACCCCATTATGTCCTGTGCTCTGTATGTTCAAGCATGCCTGGCTGGGGGACTGGGGTCTGCTGGCACACACCCCTACTGCATGCCTTAGAGCATCGGCTGCCTTCATGAGTCCAGCCCTCCATATCCTGCATTTTATCATGCTACTGTGTTGCCTGCGTGTTCTGTTGAGAAACCTCATACCTGAGTCCATATGCATTGGTAGCTGTGATATGGGCAGCTACACAATTCTTCTTTGAAGAGATGGTTAATGAAACTTTACAAAAGTTAGCTTAACAATACTTTATGCCATTTACAAAGGTCTCCAAATTTTGTGACATTCATATTGAACTAGAGAACAATACTGCTGCTCACATGTAGGTGGATGAATTGTGTGTTCAGTAGTGCTGCCGTAGTGTGCCTCACTGAAGAATTTTGAAGCCCAAAGACTTTCTCAGTTAGGAGAAACTCACAGAGGGTAAGAGAGTTCTCCAAGGGACGTTTCATTCGTTCTTTTAGTTTTGACATTTCCCCGCCTAGATTGTGAAAGCTTAATATTACAAAGGAAAAAGAAGAACAGATTTTGAAGTGATTTTTATCCAGGTCTTGGCCTCCTGCACAAAGGTCAACATGTCATAATTCTCATGCTAGCCAAATGCTGCATCTTGTGTAAGAGTTCATGCTTTGCCATGTAACCCTTAAGTAACCCCACTGAAGTTGATCTCTTTTAGGAAAAACGTGTGAGTCTGGGATTTAGGGTGGGAGGTAGGGGAATGGGGGAGTAACACCCAAAGTATGTACTGTTTTATAACCTTTCAATACAGCAGATTAATATTTATGTTTCTATCTTTTGAGTAACAGGAGCACCACTGG